ACCGTATCCATTCTTCCTAACGTAAAAACTTCACAAATAAAAAAAGCAACTGAAATCTTTATCTCCCACAGGGTGTTATCCTGTGGAGGTTTTACAGTATCTCACAAATCTCTTTTTTAACATTGATGTTAAGATTCATACCTACCTTTATAGGGGTAAAATTAGATGATTTATCGCCCCCTTTGCCAAGACTACTGTGAGTTTGAATCCTATTTAAAATGTTGAATCTAGAGTGCTCTCAAGTTTTGTAGTCTTATTAAGGGACCAATATTTTCTTGATATAAAGCTTCCTTCTTAATTGGTCATATTAGCTGGACACAAACTCTGAATTATTGTGCATGCTAATGCTTCTTTCCATTGATTGTAATTAACCTAGGCTAGTTTAAAGAACTTTATTTATACAATTGATGACAATTTTACACATATGAGCAATTGAAAATGTTTTGTAAAATTGGATATAGGCCTGGAGATGTGCTGCCTTAAGAGTGACCATGCTAAATATCTAAGAATCTCAAAATGGACTTGTCTTTCATTTGGGGCAAAACCATTTATCATTTTTAGGGGAAATTTCAAAATATATTCAAATGTACAGCCTAAATATCAATTAGTGTACAGTTGCTTCCAGGAGGCTTAAGGTAAACAGTTTGTTCAGCTAGTAATAACTATGATATATTGTGTTTTCAGATTAACATATTACAGTCAAAGAAGAGATTTGATGTCCTTGAAACTGTAAGTATCAATAAGGAACATGTAACAGTTAAACTTCCCTTTTATTTTAATTGTATTGAAATGTTTGTTTTCAATATATACGTATGTGTTGGATTTATGAATATCTTAGCTTAGTTTATACAACTTTATTAGTCCCCTACCGGTTTACCGGAGGGGACTTTAGGTTTACCCTCCGTCCGTCTGTCTGTCCGTCAGTCCGTCCGTCCACAAAACTGGATCCCGCGATAACGCAAAAAGTACTGAAAATATTTTAATGAAACTTGATATATGGATAGATGGCAGTATGGAGATTATGCACGTCTTTTTCTTTTCTTCCTATGTTAAAAATTCTGGTTGCTATGGCAACAAATAGACTGAAAATATGGTAAATTTTACACATAACCTGGATCCCGCGATAACGCAAAAAGTACTGAAAATATTTTTATGAAACTTGATGTATGGATAGATGGCAGTATGGAGATTATGCACGTCTTTTTCTTTCCTTCCTATGTTGAAAATTCTGGTTGCTATGGCAACAAATAGACTGAAAATATGGCAAATTTTACACATAACCTGGATCCAGTGATAACACAAAAAGTACTGAAAATATGTTTATGAAACTTGACATATGGGTAGATGGCGGTATAGAAATTATGCACATTCTTTTCTTATCTTCCTATGTTGAAAATTCTTGATGCTATGGCAACAAATAGACTGAATTTCAAGATTTCTGATTCTAGTTTTTAAGTTTTTCACTATAAGTTCTTTATTTCTTAAGGTATTTTCTTCAAACTTTAAATATAAATTGCTTGTCATCAACCACATCATATGTGACAAGGTTTACAACTCTAGCACAAAATTTATCAGAATTACCTCCCTTGAACTTAAAATTTTCATGAAAAAAAACATTGTTTTTTTAATAACTTCTTTTTCTGAATGTATCTACTTCAAACTTCATATAAATGTTTCTTATTATCACTCAACATTTGTGAGTGTTCAATACTCTAGCAAGACTATTTCCAGAATTATGCCCCTTTTGAACTTAGACTTTTTTTTGAGAAATTGGTAATTTTTACTCCAACTTCTTCAATCATGATAGGATTTTAAAAATGTTATATTTTGATAACAGGGATGTTTAAAAAATAACTTTAGAGTGTCCTTCAGTGTCCGTCTGTCTGTACGTAAAAACTGTTTCCTGTGATCACTTTTAAAGAACTTTTTCGACAAATTTACTTAAAATAGGAACCTAAGTGAATGGCCAATGGCCCTTCAGAATGTTGCTTGGGCTCTTACCGGTAGGGGACTTATGGATTGCTTGCAATACTATGATAATTACTTGTTTAAGTATGATTGTGTTGGAAGCTATAAGCTTATTAAAACACTCTCAAATCCATTCCTGGGACCAACCAGCACTAAGCAATGAATGTTAAGTTTCTTGCTTAAGGAAATATTAGTTTGCCCCTGACAAAGTTTGAACCGACACGGTCAGCAATCCTTAAATAGATAGTCCGACATGTTAACCATTCAGCCGGCTGCCATAGATGTGATAAACCTTAGACCCTTACCTTGCTAAATATCTTAAATTGACCATGTTTCAATCTTGAAAAAACCATTTATTATTTTTAGGGAAAATTTCATAATATGTACAGGGTACAGACTTTATATAGTGAACAGTGCAGACCGCAATCAGATGGCATGGCTGTGCCAGCTGATCTTGGTCTGCACTGTTTACATGGGTAGAATAAGGTGCTGTCAACAGAAGAGAGGTTGAAAATTCAAAGTTCAACTTTAAAAATTGGTCATATGATAAAGCAGTTACTGCATGAAGTTTTTTTGAATATCAAGTCTATGGATAGGGGTGTTAATCTGTAGAATTAGTTGCTGTCAACAGACTAAAGGTTGAAAATTCATAGTTCAAATTTTAAATATTTACAAAAATGAAGAATTTTACATTGGTATTATGAATTATGATAACAACAGTTACTTAACATGAAAATTTCTGTGAATATCCATGTCTATCTCAACCTATAGTGATAATTACATCAGCCAGGTTCATAGATTTGGATAATTTACCTTCTCTTCATACAATAAATGTACATGTTTATTACATACTTTGCAGTGGGAAGTAAAATAATATTTGATAATTTTCACAGTGAAGTTTTATTTGATAATTTTCACAGTGAAGTTATATTTGCTGGACTATATTTGAATGGGGATGAAAATAACATTTCATAACTAAATGGAATTATCATCAGGAATAAATTCCGTCGTATGTTAATTTTGCTTTTTTAGGAGAAGTAAGTAAATAATTGCATACATTGTGCTAAAAATGTAACAATATTCGAGAAATTTTACAGAACTAAATTTCAAAATTGGTACTGTGACGTCATGATGTGATGACGTCATGAAATAGAACACATGACATTACGCGTCAAAACAGTAAAAATGACTAAAAATCACTTAAAAAGCATGAAATTAATAGAAAATTTGTTTGTTTTGCATGTAAGATTGAAATATATTTCACTCGTGAAAACCAGCTATTATATTTTCACTTGTGGCTATGCCAATCATGAAAATATTGCACCTGGTGTTCACTCAGTGAAATATATTTCAATCTTACATGCAAAACAAACAAATATCCTCAATAAATTATTACACTATTAGATACTGATTAAAGACAACTGCAAAGCTGTAAGTAAATTCAAAATTAAATTACAATCATGTTGAAGGTTTACTGAAAGATTATATTACAATAGAAATGATTGTGAACTAAAAAAAATTGTTTTCAGTCATGTTAGAAGTATGCTGACAGACTTATCAGTAATAATGATTGTGAACTAAGAAATTTAACTTCAAATCCTGATTTCAGATGCTGTCATTCATGCATGCTCAAGCCACGTTCTTTCACCAGGGACATGAACTATACCAGGATTGTGAAGGGTACATGAACGGCATTAGAGACCAGGTATACAATGATTATTTTATCAAAATACAGAGAATATTCAAGGTGTTTTTCGATAATACTAAGAGGATATTTTTTCGTTTGAGTGAAATATGGAATATATTTTCACGAAACATGATAAAATGCCACATATATTCACGAGCCTGGACGGCGAGTGAAAATATGTGGCATTTTATCATGTTGAGTGAAAATGTATACTATATTTCACGAAAGACGAAAAAATAACCTTTTTATTTAATTTCATTATCAAAGAAAAATGGTTACGAACCCCCTTGCTTGGTACGCTACGCGCAATTGTATGTACAGCCCGCAGTAATATAGATGCGTCTTGTTTTGCACGCGGTATTTGGCGCTACATTGTGACATCACGTAAACAACTCTTTAAACGTCTGTACAGCGTTAATGACTGAATTAAAGATATTGGTGTTCGGATTTATTTTCTTAGACCATTTTCTATCATTCTAGATAGTTTTCAAAACGAAATTCAACAAAAAGTTGTTTTGTATTTATCAGATTTTTCAATCAAAATGGCAAAAGAAGTCCCTTAAAATAAATATGAGTTTTGACTCCGCCCACTTTCATATATTTATATTTCATATTTATTTTTAAAAAATGTGAAATATATTTGACTGATATAGCACCATATTTCATGGGTAAAATTAAATAAAGGATTTATTTTCATTGAGTAGTAGGCCTAGTCAAAGATGAAATTATATGATAATTTTCATACCACTAGATAAAAATAATGATGATTTTGACAAAGTTATTCCTCTTGAATGTTGGAAAAAAATTAAAATATTCAGTTTCTGCACTCTTACTTTTGTGGAGAAATGTGTGTATAAGGTTGAAATCACATGAGCAGGTATTTGACCAGAAAATACAGGTCATGTTCTATATTGGTTTTGGTCCGATGATTTTTGACAGAGCTATCCTTCTTGAACTTTGATAAAAAGAGAAATTTTCAGTTTCTACTCTAACTTTTGTAGGAATGTATGTCCGAGGTTGACATTGCATATGTTGGTATTTTACCAGAAAATACAATTCAAGTTCTAATTTGGTCATGGTCAGAACTTTTTTTTTACAGTTATTCCCCTTGGACTTGGAAAATATTCAAAAATTCACAATTTCTAATCATTATCTTAGATACAAATATGCAATATGCAATTTGCAAAAGGTTAACACTGAACTTTTTTTATAAAAAAGGTTTGTGTTAAAATTGAATAGTTTAAGGGCCTTGCACTTACAATGAAAAAAATTGGTTTGTGGAAACAAGTTTGGAACTAAATATGATTATAACATTTGAAATTTTGGCTGCATGCTGCATGTTGGGGCATTGGTGGCGTTACAACACATTTCTAGTTATTTCATTTTTCACCTTGTTTTTCCTTGTTAATCAATGAGTTTGGCAGAATGAGAGTAATACAGTCAATTGTCATTGATTTTGTATATGAAATTTTCATACACCCAGTAACAAACAAAAAAAAATCCCAAAAACTAAATTTCCTTATTTTTAAGTTAATTTTTTTCCTGAATACTTTTATGTTTTTGAATGAATTTGAATGAAGAAATAAGATCAATAAATAGTTTTTTGATCATTTATTCTCATTTCGGAAAGCTATCACATTACATTTTTATTTTGCAGTTTCCATTACTTAAAAAATTCCCAATATTGACACCCTTCACAATTAATTTTCTCAAATCCACCTGTGTTGTTGATATTCAAAATGTTGTAGGATAAAAATGGGGCCTGATTTTCATTTTCGTCTAATTTTAGGTTAAAGAACTGCATGTGAAGGCTAAACAGGAATGGAAAGAGATGGAAGAGAGGCACAATTTGGTACAGAATAAGGTATGTCAAAATTCACGTATAAATCAGAGAAAAAGGCTTTTACCTTCCCCATACCTTCAAAAGGGCAACAAGACCAAAAAAACCAACAACAAGTGGTTATTAAATAAAGAAATTTCTGAAGACCAAAAGAACAAGTGGTCAAATAAAATTTTTTCAAAGATACCTACTTACTTAGTAATTGTTTGTGCGTGTCTTGAGTTTATCCTTCGTTAAGGTTTGAGACTATTGTGATCAACCTTACCCTAAAATGTCTTACATGTGTGCTGTGTTTTTAAATTTGTAACTTGTAGATTGTTATTGTGAATGAAAAGTCTCTTAAATAGACTTTCCCAGCTTACAATTTTGGAACTGTTCATGATCAATTTTAGGGATATCAAATATGAACATTGTTGGCAAGATGTTGTTGACCAACAAAAATCAATCTTGAGGTGTGTTTCTTTAAGAGATGAAAATCTGATGAAAACAGCAGTGAGACAAATGAAGGTCAAAATAGTACCAAGACAAGTTCATTTAAGGGATTCAACTGAGTTTGTTGGTTTTTTTTTGAAGATTAATGTTTGGTTTGATGTAGGTCTTGACAGATAACTTGTGTTGCAAATTTCTGTTCATTCGCTCACTCCATTTTGCAGAATAATTTATTATTCAACTTGATCCAAAGTTAAAAAGCGTTGCAATGCTTTTCACTTATAGTATGGCATGGAAATACCATTTTCAATTTATTTCTGAGTGCATTTCTTAATTAACTTCAGCATATCTTTCTGTTTCAAGTGCCTCAGCTGATCTTAGTAAGAAATTCAAAATTTTATGATTTTAATTTGTGGGACCCCAGTGGGGTTTCTTTAAACTTAAGTCAGCCGATCTTCCCAATTTTGAATTTAGAATTTTAAACTAAACCATCCATCATTTAAACTATCAGAAGAAAAGATTAGACATCCCTGAATTAGTATAATAGACTTGTCCAGTTTTGAATTTGGAACAGTCCATTCCAGTTATAAGGTATTTCAACATCAAAAACTTGTTTTGAAAATACAAAACTTGAGCTGCTAAACAGAATCAAGCTTAATCAAACTACACAGAAATTGAAAGGTAAATATTTTTGAAGTAATGACGTTAATAGAATCACATCTCTTTCATTATTAAGCTCTTATGTTTTAGTAAGAACATGGTTGTTCAGATTTAGAAAGAAGGGAGGTAACAGATGCATGGTAAAAATGAATTTTTGCTGATTATCTCCCCTGAATAGGTTTTGTTTTGCGTTATCAATACATATTTGTGGTGGTTACCTATAGGCACCTGGATTTAAAAAATATATATATTTTAAAGAAATCAGATAAGAAATGGATGTTTAATAGGCAAAAAGATTTTCTTTGAGGATGAAATTAAGAATCAAAGTAACTTAATTTAAATACCAACAAGATTAAATGTTTAAATAAGTTATGAACAAGTTTTTGGTTTGATGTAAGTTATGTTTCTTATCATAAGTTGAGCTTAGCAAGAAAAAAGTTTTAAAGAGAATAAAGATATATGTTTTAAAGTATTTTTATAAAATTTACAAATAGTTAATTCTGATGTTTGTAAATAAGGGTTGATTTTCTCAAAAAAAAAGTTTTAACATAGTCTCTATTATTTTTACAAACATGAATATTTTACATTCGAATATGCTCCACATTACTTCCCTACCAATCAGATAGGGCAATCCAGTGCATTATTACAGATATATGCTCAGATATAAAAAAGGAATGCTTACATGTCATGTGACGCCATTATGATGTCAATAAACCAAATGACGTTAGGAAAATTTCTTCTATGCTAAAAACATTTTTTTATCAATTTTCTTTTTTATTAGCATGTTAGAATGGAAATAGATATTATTTTTTTTGCATTATGTTCAAATTCTTTGTAATTAATCACTCTGGCCTATATACATCCAGGCTAGCATGTACATATGTAAAGTACAGTCTGGAAATGTACTGTTGTACATCTGTACTGTCTGGCCAAGGCTCCATACAGTACTTTATTACATATGTACAGTTTGGCAAAGGCTGTATACCATGTACATCTGCACAGTCTTTTGAAGGCATATTTGATGTACTTTCATACCTCTGTACAGTCTAGCAAAGGCTCTATTCAATGCACTTTGGTACAGTCTGGCAATAGCTCTTTTCAATGTGCTGTTGTACATCTGTACAATCTGGTCAAGGCTCCATTACAGTGTACAGTTGTACATCTGTACAATCTGGTTAAGGCTCTGTACAATGTTATCTTGTACATCTGTACAATCTAAGAAAGCTGTATTAAATGTTCTGTTGTACATCTGTACAATCTGGTCAAGGCTCCATTACAATGTACTGTTGTACATCTGTACAATCTGGTTAAGGCTCCATTACCATGTACTGTTGTACATCAGTACAGTCTGGTCAAGGCTCCATTACCATGTACTGTTGTACATCAGTACAATCTGGTCAAGGCTCCCATTACCATGTACTGTTGTACATCAGTACAATCTGGTCAAGGCTTCCATTACAATGTACTGTTGTACATCAGGTACAATCTGGTCAAAGGCTCCATTACCATGTACTGTTGTACATCTGTACAATATGGTCAAGGCTCCATTACCATGTACTGTTGTACATCAGTACAGTCTGGTCAAGGCTCCATTACCATGTACTGTTGTACATCGTGTACAATCTGGTCAAGGCTCCATTACAATGTACTGTTGTACATCTGTACAATCTGGTCAAGGCTCCATTACAATGTACTGTTGTACATCTGTACAATCTGGTCAAGGCTCCATTACAATGTACTGTTGTACATCTGTACAATCTGGTCAAGGCTCCATTACAATGTACTGTTGTACATCTGTACAATCTGGTTAAGGCTCTGTACAATGTTATCTTGTACATCAGTACAATCTAAGAAAGCTGTATTAAATGTTCCGTTGTACATCAGTACAGTCTTGTGAAAGCTCTTTTTCTTGCTTCCAATAATCAAAATAAATTAAATAATGTGCAAATTTACATTTGAGCAGCAGATAGTTCACACAGATTAAAATATTTTATTATTTATATTGATCTCATGCCTATAAAATTTTAGCAGAAAATTTCATAATGCTATGATTATCTTTTTTTTTTTTTTAGTTTTTTTTTGCAAGTTTTGCAATTAAAAGATAGTATTTCTCATTTAAAATTTAGATTTTTTGTGATGAATTTGAGTATAACATCTTTTTGAAAATTTCGCACCCAACAACGAGGGAGTAATGTCATTATGAATTATATGTAACAGAAAACATAATTTATTTCACCTGTCCAAAAACATGTGAAGACAGGTTTTAATTTAAGTATTTTGATATTACGCAAATTGCAAGTACGTCAAATGTAACCAAGGGGAAGCAGTCATTTTAATGCCTATGATGAAAGCTCTAAGATTAAGTTCAGAAGTTGCTTGTTTATTTTTGAGGGTTTTTTTTTTTTGCCCAGTTTTCAAAAGCAAACATTAAATGTTAGGTTTTTCTAAAGATAATTTCGGCATTGGTTTAATGAAGAAAATGTTTAATCAACTTTGCTACTTACAAATACTACCTGTATCAGAAAAATGATGTTATTGATAATTTTTTTTCTTCGTTCACTACACAATATTTTACTTTATTTATATTTTCAAAATTTCCACAAAGAATAAGCACGAATCTGAAGGTATGCTGCTTTTAAGCAAAAAATGTGTTTAAAAAAAGAAAGGATCGAAGGAAAAACAAATTGTTTTTTATAATACAATATGATAATCATAGCATTACTATGGATTACAAATTTTGGCAGAATATTTGTGGCTTGTTATCAGGATATGTGTCAAGATTTATTTATATGATTGGTTTAAACCCAAATATGACTGCATAGTTACCAGTGTGTGAGTCATAATGACTTACAATTACTTACTATTACCTATGCCAACAGTATAGAGTGGGGGCAATCCAGATTATTTACTCAGTCAGACTGCTATTACTATATTAGCCGCGTCACGACTAAACCAACATAGTGGGTTTGCGACCAGCATGGACCCAGACCAGCCTGCGTATCTGCGCAGTCTGATTAGGATCCATGCTGTACGCTATCAGTTTCTCTACTTGTTATTGGGTTTATAAGCGAACAGCATGGATCCTGATCAGACTGCGCGGATGCGCAGGCTGGTCTGGATCCATGCTTGTCACAAACGCATTGTGTTGGTTTTGTATTGACGCGGGTCATATGCATTTTCGCTTCTTAATTTTAGGGTATTTACATGACTTTATTAAGTACATGGAGTGCTGTTATACTCACCCCATCGTCAGTGTCCACTTCTAACATCTGTATTTCAAACGCACCTTGCATCGCTCTTTCAAAAATGATCTCTTTAACTAAAAATTTTGCTTTAAAAATGTTATATAAAAAAGAAAGAATCCAAAGTCTCTGGGTGGGATTTGATCCAAAAGCGATGAGGGGCAAGTGGTTTGAAGTCAAAGACCTTAACCACTTTGTCAAGAAGGTCGAACAAGATTTTTATACAAAAGTGATATAATTATGTGAAGCAGGGTGAGCGATAAAGGACGGAGTCCCCTTCACAATACTTTTACGAGGAAATTATCATATTAAACTACCTATTTAACTATGCTCCTATGTATCTGGGTCATTTAAAATCAAAGTTCAGGGGGACTATTTCGTTTCCATTTGATTGAAAGTTGAACAGAAATGGTACTACATTATATTCAGCTTTTGAAGAAAAGAAGAATTGAGAATCCACTGACTGATAAGCCCTTCTGGCTTTCTGGCATTTACATAAAAATGCCTACAAATCACTTTGTAAGCTTTTAAAAAAATGAGGTTAGTTTACATTAAAGTAATTGAAAATTGATTGAAGTAAGGGTATTATATATAAGCATTGAAAGGTCTTGCCCTGTGTTATTTCACAATCTTGTAGTAATTAAGATGAAATGGCTGGGAAATTATTGAAGTTATATCATCTGGGCTCTGATTGATTTGACATTTTCATTTACTGACACTTTAATTGAAAAAAGGAATCTAATTTTAAGAGGGTTTATATATTGCTCTTTGGGAACTGGGATCATTGTCAGATAAAAGGTAATATAGGTGCCAATAAAATAAAGGATTGATAGAATAGGGTGGGGGGTGAATAAAACATAGCCTGTGTGAAAAATCATAAGAGGAAAATCTTATTATTATTTTAAGCTCTATCATGACAAGTCTTCATCAACCTTTGTTATGTTTGGCAGTCAGGCCTCAATCTCTTTTGCAAAAATTGAATTTATTTTGATCTTTTTTTAGCTTTTTATTTTAAAGGGACTGTACTGAAGTTTTTTTTTGACATGATGGGACTGAAAATATTTTTTTGAAGATTAATGTTCTATTTGATGTAGGTCAAGAAAAATAGCCTCTACTGGTTGGAGACCACCAAAACCGGACAACCACCAAACCCGGACAGCCCCAAAAATGCTTAATTTAGTTTTTTTCTTTGTTCAGTGGTTTTCAATCTATCAGTCACTTTATTATCAACATGCAAGTTTCTTCTATGATTAATAAAATTAATTTCAACTTCCGTAAATGGTAATATTTTATTGCCTATTTCAAGAATACTGACGCTGAAAATTGGGGCATCAAAAGTGCAATACCTGACCGAATATACCACCTATAATAATTTGCAGAGTAAATAAAAGAATATCCAAAACTTCAGCATTTGCTGTTGATATATTGTATATCATGTTAAAAATAAAAAATTAAAACATCCAAGCTTTTATCTGAATTAAATCAAGTCATGAACATATCCGTCCGGACACATGGTACTGTAGTGTGGACAATTTAGGTAATTTTGATACCCTCAACCACAGGCCTCAGATGTAGGTGTCAACATAATCAGATATAAACAAACTAGCTTGTTTCTTAGGAGAAGAACCTAGCTGTATTGTGTCAAATTTTCAGATCTCTAGGTTAGAAATTTTGAAATATGTATAGAAAAATGTTCAAAAAGTGTCCGGTTGATGGTCCCCGACCAGTATGCAAAATTTCGGTTCATTTGATCTCTAGGTTTTTCCAACAAAAATATTCTAATTGGGGAAAAATTACCTAAAATTGAAAAGTGTTGCAATGCTTTTCTTGGAAAAGCACAAAAATACAATCTTAAATTTATTTCCGAGTACATTTCTTAATATCTTTTACATGTTTTTCTGTTAAAGTGCCCACATTTATATATATGTCAAACAAATTCAAACTTTATGTTTTTAGGCTTTTGAGCCTGACAGTGGAGTTCCTTTAATATGGACCAGTGTCAGTGAGACAGAGTCAATTAAAGTTATTGAAACCGAAGTATTACCAGATAATTGCTAGGAAATCATGCATGTACCAAAGAAGAACTTTCATATAATTGCAGGAATGCAGGATGATAAATTTTCGTTTGCATTATTGTATCAATGATTATAATCTACTGAAATACCAGCCTTCTTATCTGCCTGTTTTGATTGAGATTATTATCAGGAGGGGGAATTTGGTTTTCTAAGTGAATAGATTTTTTTTTGTATTTATCATTTAAGATAGCACTATCAATGTTTTAAGGATACTTTTCTTCACTCTCTCTCTATTAACATTATTATTTTAACTTTTGACGAAAATGATCACTATTATTGTATACTCATTGTAAGAATTGGAATAGTTCAACCAAGTGCTATGACTGATTGTAGTGATGATATTCATCATCTGTCGTCCATTTTTAGCATTATCATCATTTTATCATTGACACTTGGACTGGAACATTTCCACCATACATTCATCATTGTCATAATGCAATAATTATTGTCATAATCATCAGTATCGTCATCATCATCATCAGCAGCAATAGCATTTTTTCATCAGCATTATTTAAATCACTATCATCATCATCACCATCATTCCGTTGCCATATAATCATTATCATCATTATCTTCATAATCATCATCATCATAATCATCATCATGTTTTATCATCATCTATTGTCATCATTATCATCATCATCACCATCATCATCATCTGCCATCATTATCATCATCATACACAGATGTGCTTACTGATAGCAATGGGTAATCTCTTCAGGGTTGAGCTTGCTGAATATTTAAGTAACAGTCTTCATGTTAATGACATGGTCATACTGCTTGTTTTAGTCACATTGTCATTGACTGTTTCATAATTATTATAAAGACAATCATACAGTTTTATAGAAAAATCTAAATTTTGAAGCAGACAATTTATGGTGTTTTTTCCCCAAGCAAGACGACCTTGAATCATTTGTCAGAATATCTTTGGAAACAATGAGAGAAGAGAATGGGTTTTCCTGATGAAGCGATAGATATATATTGTAGTAAACATGTAAACAGGTATCCGATATCATAATCAGTTGTGGGAATCAGTTATATTGTGCCAGGAATTGCCACTCACATAATAAATGTATTGTGACTATACTGATACAGTGATAATGTGATATGAACACTTGATGACCTAAGGCTATAACAATATAAATGTTTGTTTTTTTAAGAAAGAAAAAAAATCCCCCCAAAAAACAAAGCAACCAAAAACTGTCAGTAATTGCAACAAAGAAGATGTTTAAGAATATTCAAAGAATGTAGCATAAATGTTTTTGATGTTGTGTGGTTCGGATAGAAGGATCAGGGTAGAAAATGAATCAAAACCATACAAATAAAACCAAAAAAAACACACTAACAAAATATCCAACAGAAAAAGGTAGATACTCTCTTAAGATTATGGTTTAACAGAGCCTATGCTACAGGTGTAGATCTACCCTGTTTGAAACTGTAATTTAACAAAGGTAAAAATGAGATCTTTCTTTGCCGAGGTTGACCATGTGACTGTGACTGTGTGACACCATGTCAGTTTGATTTTACCAACAGAAAACAAGATAATTTTATAATTATGTTAATGAAAATTTTCACAACATGTTAGATGTTATCATGTTTCATGTTATCATGTTGAGTGTGTTATGCTAGTGGTTACCTATCTGTCAAATGATAGATAAGTCAACTGTTGGTCTTTGTCTGATGCCCACAGTAATAACTGATAAGCCCACAGCAATTGTCTGATAAGCCCACAGCAATTACTGATAAGCCATGTAAAGTACAGGTGGCAAATGAAATGCACTTAATGCACTTGTTACTTTCAATTGTGCAGCAAACAAGTTTAAGACATAGCAGAACCTTCCCATGTGCGTTTTTACCAACGGGTTACAGTATTTCATATATTAATAGCACCTGCTACAAGGCAAATTTTAATGACATCACCAACTTGAGAGAAAAGAGCGGTCTTTTTTCTTTTTCTATATTTAAGTATTTTTTGCAATATATCATCATTTCATCTTCAAGTCCCTCCTTTTTTTAAGGGGGACGGGGGGAGTTGTTAGGGGGAGTGGGAATGTGTTAGGGGGAGTTTTATGGTGGATGAGCTTTGTTTCAGGCACCAATAAAATGGACAATAGGAAAACCATATTTTTTTTCTTTTTTAGTATAAAATCAGTTATATTTTTATATCTTTTATTGAGTATTGAGCTATCTATAAGATAACTTCCTGAAAGCTAAAGATAACTTCCTGAAAGCTATATATATGTACAAAGTTTCATAAAAAAGTGTTCAAGTTTCTTGATCTTTTTCTTTTGAAAACAAAGAAGAAAAAGTTCTGAAAAAATTGTGTTACGTCTAAGGGCTTACCAAAGGATTTCTGAGAGCTATGAAAAGTTGAATTTAAACTTTTATTTCAAGTTCAGCTATTAATTGTCACTTAGAATAATAGATGTGATATTATAACAAAAACTGTTCACTTTCCTTCCACTTGTAAACAGAGAGATTATTTTCTCATTCAGCAAGCACCAATGCAATAAATGTTATATTAATATAGCATCTTTTTTATTGTTCACTTTTATATATTGAATATAGTGAATATTTCACTGTTTGTGTTTTTTTCACACTATAAAGATTACAACCTTAAAACAGTTTCGATCTTACTGCTTCTGTTTGTCTTTGTTGCCCTTGCCCTTACGTTTTCGGCAGACCACATTTCCTTGATCGTCAACCTTGCATCTCTTCCTTCTCACACATTTCATGTTCCCATCCTTGTCAACTTTGCAGCGTTGACCTTTCTTTTTGTGAATCCTTCTTTTCTTCCTTTTTGCATCCTTATCCTTCTGGCTTAACCTTCTTTGTCTTCGCCGCTCTTCCTTCATTTTTCGTTTACGTTCTCTCTCAGCTTTCCTTGCAGCTTTTCGTTCAGCCTTGGTCATTTGCTTTTTGTCTGCACTGACTTTTGAAGGGTTTGATGTCTGTTGATTTCTTGGTGGTTTGATGATGACACGAACGCCACCGGTTGATGATGGCTGTCGGCTCGATTGAGCATTGTTGCCATTATTTTGAGGAGTATCCTGGTCATGTGACTGAGGTGCAGTGTTCCTAGATACAGAACTACTTGGTTGTTCGGAAACTTCTGTTTCTGTTGATTGTTGCACGTTAGAATTTATCCGCTGCTGAAGTGGTACATCTTTGAAGTCTGTTGGCGATAATTCAGAGATCAGTCTTCCGTTAACTGCATCAGGTGTGTTACATGTTGGCTGCTCATACTGGTGAAAGGAAACAGTAGTTGTCGTCTGCATCCATGCTCGTAACCATAGTAATTTGGTATCACAATGTAGAAGATTACCATCCAGAAGAAGTTGTTTTATGTTCGGAAAGATGGTTTGGACAGTTTCTGGTAAGGTTGTTAGTTCGTTATACTCTAGATTGACTTTCTTGATATTTTCGAAGGTGTTGTCTGTAGACTTTGCAAATATATCAAGAAAAGCTTTTGTGAGCCCAACACTACTCATAAGGTTCACAGTTGTCAAATTTGGCATAGTTGTAAGAAAGTTTTCATGTAGAATTTTGTCAGTACTTGAAGTTTTTCCATCTATTAAAGCCATTGAAAGGTGATTAAGACTGTCTAATCCTGCAAAAGCTCCTTGTTCAAAAACTTGGATTGGATTGTCTGTCAGAGTGAGCATCTCTAACTTGGGAAGATTTGTAAATGTCCCGACATCTATCAAAGAGATTTGGTTTCCTTGGAGGTTAAGCTTCTCAAGGTCGTTGAGATATTTTAATGAATCTTGATGCACTTTTCTCACTTTGTTTTGTTCAAGAGACAGTTCTTTAAGCTTAGAGTCTTCTTTGAACAACATTGGTTCAAGCTCGACAACTTGGTTGTTATCTATGAACAGTTTTATCAGTCCTTGAGGGAGCCCTCTCGGTATATACACCATGTCGTTTCTGCTCAACCAAAGTTCCTTCAGGTTCTCAAGATTCCCAAAAGACCGATGTGCAATAAAGTTGATTTTGTTGTCGTTAAGCGTGAGAAGATTAAGCTGTGTGATGTTGTTAAAGTCGTCATCATTGATTGATGTGATAAGATTGTTACCGAGGCGATAGTCAGTCAAAGACGGTGGCATAGTACGAGGCACATTTTCCAACTGACAGTTTGAGAAATCGGCCAATGACAGCATAGTACTGCTGAATGTCAGATCTGGCAGTGATGTGATTGGATTGTTACTAAGAATAAGGTAGCGCAACATGTCCATATTTTTGAAAGCGTTTCCATGGATACTCATTATTTTATTGTGGCTAAGATCCAGCATCTTGATCATATTGTTTTTCTCAAAATCGTTTTCTGTTATAACCTCAATCTCGTTGTTTCCGAGTCGTAATGTTTTCAGGGCAGGCGTATTTCTCAAGATTTGTCCGATTTCTGTAATTTTATTTCCATTTAGAGATATTGTTTCAACATTTTCTAGACCACGGAATCCGTGTTTGTACACCTTAGATATTGAGTTCATAGATAAATCGAGGCTCATAAGAGAAGTGGCACCTTCAAAGTCGCCTCCCTTGATTACGCGCAGATCATTTAATGACATCCGAAATGACTGCAGTTCTGGTAAATCGGGGATTTTTTGCAGCGAGCCGATGTTATTTTGGGTAAGATCAATGTAAAATGTGTCTGGTGGGATAGGGGAAGGTAAGGCATTTAGTCCCGCCCCGGGGCACTGAAGTCGCCCGTCACTACATGCTGAGCAGCCGTTTGGGCAATTTGCGTCTGCACCAGTGTACAATACAACACTGATGAGAATACAAGCTTGTAGAATCAATTTCTCCATGCTGATAGTTTAAGAACTTGCTGGCATTCTTTTCTGTTTTCCTGAAAATATAGAAATTGACACTTTATTTACTATGATCATTTTTAAGTTATCAAAAACACTTAATAAACTATTTTTTTTCTTTGAGGGTAATAAAGTGTCTGCATTCTGGTAATCGTAATGTAATGTACATGTAATAAGTTGTTTATGTTTTGATAAGGTGTAACATTTTACCCTATACCAAAACACAAGTCAAAGTTGATAGGCCTTTGACACCACTGTTAGTGCCAAGCCAGACATTTTGCTGTTGGCTTACTATCTTCAAATTTTCATCTTGATATCCCTAAAATTGATAATAGACTGTTCCATAAAAGGGAACTGGACAAGTCCATTTTAGAAATTTAGCCGATTTGTTGTAAATATGCAGCGTTTAGAAGTATTAGACTTAAATGAATTTTGGCTGATTTTTCCTATAATATCAATTATTATGCCAAGTGGTAGAAGAGCATGTGGAAATGGTTAAGGTTTTGATTCTAGTTTAGTTCATATCAAAGACAATTTTATAATAGAAGATGTAAAATTAGGGTGTCCTTAGCAGTCAACAGTAAGGGGAAATGGGGAGGTTTTTTTTTTTTTTTTTTTTTAAATTTTGACCCTTTATGTTTAAAGGCTTGACAGGCACCTTCACATTTTTTCCACTTCAAACGTTTTTGTTATCATATTTTAAACTGTATGAAGTTTAATTAATCTTTTGAAACGGTGTTCATCATGCCTTTATGTCCATATTGAAATTGTAACAGTCATCCATAAACTGAGTGTTTGTAAAATGGGGTAATCAGTCATATTTATGTTGACAACAAAACACAGATACATACAACAAATAATTACAATTCCAAGCATCATTGGGAAAGGATTAAAAAAAATCTTCATCACCAGATAATGTGAAGAAATCCACTGTGAATAAGAGATTATTATAAGTTGTTATACTCAGTAGATGATAATAGCTCATTATTTTCTCATTTTCACATCTTTCTGAATGTTCAGGTACCCCTCTTGTATTTTCTATTATACTTTCAAGTATGGCTCTGTAATTATCATTACTTTCTTAATAATGATTCTTAAAGGCCCACCATGACATTATGTTGTCTCATGCAAAATATTAACTAGAATTATTGTTTGAAATGGATTTTAAATACATGCGTATTACAGAATGTGGTGTATTAATATTAAATGCCTTATTTACTTAAAGTAACATTATGGCCACCAAATAAGATAAAGTGTGTAAACAGGTGAAAGTCGTAATATTAGTTCTACATTTTGCCATTATTCTTTTCAATTTTAAGATTTACTTGGCATGAACGATAAATAACTCACATGACCCAAGAAAATTTCTGTATGTTTCAATCAGAATTTACCTGTAACATTCAATTTGTAAAAAAGAGTTGGGCAGTTTTTTTTATATTTTTGGCAGATTATCAACTGTTGGTCAATATATTTTGACTAGTTAATCACCATTACAACTGTCATTGGTTTGAAATATCTAATATTAAATTCTGTTGAACTTGGTAATGAAAAATTGAGCATAATATCACTTAAAAAAGTGTTTTTAACTGTAAAAGAAATCTTTAATTAAACCAAAATTATTTATTTCTACTGTTTAAAGTTCCTGTCTGGATCAATTTTAAACATTTATTAAATAAAAAAGCAGTCTGAGAAAATCGAAATTATTTCTTTCTATGGTTTAAAGCTCCTATCTGGATCATTTATAAGCATTTATCATTAATGGAAAAAAATTGCTGAGAATAACATAGGTCATGATGGGCCTTTAAGATCTGTTATTCTCTTTGCTGAGAAGATATTCCCCAGGTTTATTAACAAACAATGACAGGTAATTATACAAAACAGGTATTTAGTATCCATATTCATCCCACTTCTAAAAGTGTGTTTTGTATTTAGTTATTTTTGGAAATCTTTGAATTGTAACCATTAAGCCATCTTCAAAGTTAGATGTAAGTGCCACTAACCTCTAAACATACTGGAATCCAAAGTGATTAGATTTTGCAAACCCTATAGAGCTAGGCCAGTGTGTTAATCAGTAGGTTATAAGGATATTAAATATAAAGATTTTTTAACAGGTTATATGGCCCTATTTAAATGGTTGTTTGGAAATATAACCCATAGCTGCAGTTATATTGGAAACAACAGTTTATATACGGTCATTTAACCTACCAGGAATATTTTTATACAGCAAACTTTTTTCTTTTTGAGAGAAAAAAAGGAGAGATTTCTTCATAAAATGACATCAGTCGTGTCTATAATAAAACTATATCATCGTTATGATTATCCAATGAAAAGTGACGTTACAAATATACAGTATTATAAAGAGTAATATAAGGTAATGAATATTCATACCACTGTTATGATTATTCAGATTGACCTTTACTGACTTTTTTCTTGGAAAAGGTCAAGGTCATTGCTATAGGTCGTAATATTGAGTTGGATCATATTCTTTGAAGGCCTTAACCTTTCAGTGTCTTAGAATTGTAATGCGCAGTCAATGGTTTAATTACGAATTTCATTTAAGAACTGATTTTGTAATTGGGTCAAAGGTCAAGGTCACTCAAGGTCATCTGATATTTATGTCACTTAAGTAAGCTTTAAATGGTTTATATTGGAGTTTTAACAAAGTGAGTTAATGGGAGGTGTATTAAAAGTGTCTTAACAAATAATGGGAAAGCAATAAAACAAGATAGATTTCAGGCCTTCAGTAATATGCCATTAAAATATGTTGGCATTAAACAGATGTGCAGCAGAAAATAAGAAACAAATTATTTTGCACTTGAAATAATTGTATGAGGTGGCATTCTGCAAACTAATGTTGCACTGTTGGTGGTGTTTTGGATTGTTTATTAGTTCTTAAATTTGTGAAAAGTCAGGGTGTGTCTCTTTCATGTCTGTATATTTATTGTCAATCACGTAACTTAAGCTTCATTTTGTTTTGGTTGATTTTATGTAACTAAAGTAGGGGTGCCTACTGTTTACATGTTTAACCCATAAACCCCACTTAATATTTGAAATGAACTCTTCCATCTATCAATCTGGCCAATACCATTTATCATTTTTGGGAAAATTTCAGTATGTACCGACTGAATAGTGAACAATCAAGATCAGATGGCTTGGATGATCTGGCTAACTTTGTAGTGTGGCACTGGTTGTATGTGTAGAATCATTTACCACCAGTGGGTTACATATAATTATGTATAATGTTGCAGTTTGTCTGGTTTATTCCTAGAGTTACTGCCCTTTTGACATGTCATGGTTAATTCCTAGAGTTACTGCCCTTTTGAAATATGGTTAATTCCTAGAGTTTCTTCCATTTTGAAATGCCATGGTTAATTCCTAGATTTACTGCCCTTTTGAAATGTCATGGTTAATTCCTAGGGTTATTGTCTTTTTGAAATGTCATGGTTAATTCCTAGAGTTACTATTCTTTTGAAATGTCATGGTTTATTCCTAGAGTTACTGCCCTTTTGAAATGTCATGGTTAATTCCTAGAGTTACTATTCTTTTGAAATGTCATGGTTTATTCCTAGAGTTACTGCCCTTTTGAAATGTCATGGTTAATCCTAAGAGTTACTGCCTTTTCAAAATGCCATGGTTTATTCCTAGATTTATTGCCCTTTTGCAATGACATGGTTTTTTCCTAGAGTTACTGCCCATTTGAAATGTCATGGTTAATTCCTAGAGTTATTGCCTTTTGAAATGTCAAGGTTTATTCCTAGATTTATTGCCCTTTTGCAATGTCATGGTTTTTTGTTTGTTAGAGTTACTGCCCTTTTGAAATGTCATGGTTTAATGCCTAGAGTTAGTGCCCTTTTAAAATGTCTTGGTTAATTCCTAGAGTTACTGCCCTTTTAAAATGTCATGTTTTATTGGTAGAGTTACTGCCCTTTTGATTTGTCATCGTTTATTCCTCGAGTTACTGCTCTTTTGAAATTTCAGTGTTTCATTACAGTGCAGAAAGGCAGCATGAGGATGCTCTTATTTTATGTTTAAATTGATTCATATTGTAAACAGTGTTATGTGTGGGGGATAAGGGATAACAAAAAAGATGTTAATTTTCTAGATGCAGTCAATGTTTGTTTGCTGATTTAACTTAATGTTTTTTTATATTGCCCATATAAAGCAGACTTTTATCAAATCTATGCAGATTCTTATGAAGATTTATCTAATATTGAATGGCATTGCCAACATTGACTAAACAATTAAAGAGTAAACGTTTTGTTGCTGAGAAAAATATGCATCCGGCATCTGTCAGAATCTTTTTGTGATGTTTGCGAAATCTTAAATTGATTGCACAAATAAATGATATAAATTTTCTAATATCATTTTAATGATCTAGGATGAAATTTTTATTTTTATGTGCAAAATTATCATATGTTTAAGCTTCTTGTTTATTTTACATTTTCTTTTCATGTGTTTGACAGCCTTGTGATTTATAGGATTTCAGAATTTCTAAATTTTATTTGGACTGCTTTAAATTTGATAATGTAGTCACTTGTGATAACAAAAAAAACATCTTTTTATCATCCCATTAAATGATAATATCTTAGAAATTCAATCTCCTATTTGTTCCATAAATAGGCAATGCTATGACTGTCTCTGACTCAATTCCTTAATCCTGTCCAAGCTAAATGTCTTGAATGGACTTGTCTAATTCTTTCAGTCTGGACAAAACCATTAATCATTTTCAGGGAGAATTTCAAAGTATGACATTGTTCTGGCTAAATTGCGTACAGCACACATACCACAATTAGTCTATTATTAGAAGGCAAAGTTTGTGCTGACTTTATCTTGGTCTGCACTTGTCACATTGGTAAAATCAGTTGCCACCAACTGGTCATAAGACTTAAGGTCATTGTAAGATGTCAAGGTCATATGCAAATGAGGTCAAGGTCATATGTAAATGAGGTCAAGGTCATATGTAAATGAGGTCAAGGTCATATGTAAATAAGGTCAAGGTCATATAAAAATGAGGTCAAGGTCATATATTAACAAGATGCTACAGTTGTAAAGCATACTTATGGTTCATGATTAACATTTCCTAGGTGAACTAATTGCTTGTTTATCTGTCTATCTTATGATTATTATTTCTGCTTGGTCAGCATGTTAAGTTGTGCATCTGGGGTTTTGCTTGTTTTAATTTTTCTTTTAAGCACACTTTAGGATATAAAATTGAGATCTGAAATTCTTGCAGCTCAATATTTTGGGAAAAATCACGATGTAAACATTTGAAAAATTGGATATTGTTTTTATGCCCCAACCACTTTAGGGGTAGTCATGTAGAATTTCCTTTGTCTGTCTGTCTGTCTGCCTGTCTGACCTGCTGTATGTCAGTAGACTGGCAAAACAGTGGAATGTGGGGGCATCCGTGTGTCCTATGAACACATTTACAATAATATCAAAACAATAAAAAAAACTCTAAATAAGAAATACACAAATCAGGTTTTTATTCCACAGTTCTGCTAGTAGCAGGTTCCTTTGAGGACGGTAAAATCAAAATTTAGCTAATAAAAGTTTATGTTAATTAAAGGAAAAGCCTTTCTGAGTTTCTTTTTATTGAACTTGGTAGTTTAATGTATTTCAAGTAGAAATAAAAAACAGGTACAAATAATTTCAAGTTTTGAAAATTACTAGATTGCCTTACAATCATTTTTAAGGTAGTCTTACTTTAATGCTTTCCCACCAAAGAAATTATAACATTGGCCAATATCGTAGCAAATCGGTTATTTTCGGAACGTTATTTTTTTCAAAATCTTTGGAATTAGATTATTTACAATCAGGCATCCTTTATGGCCATGCACTTAATTCCGGTTATAAATGGTTAAGAATTATTGAATACCGAATATGAATAATAACATTCCGGAAATGACCGATTTATAATGATATTGGCAGATGTTAGAAACTTTTTGGCGGGAAAGCATTACAGTAAGAGTACCTTAACAATTTTATTTAAAAATACAATGTTTTATAATTAAAAAGCCTTCAATATAAGTTTTGAAGTTATTTTCAAGTTTTGAGATAAATTCTTTGTAAAGGGAGTGGGAAGGGAAATAATGTTGAGATGGACTGTGAGTTGATTAAGTTTTGAAATAATAAAATCATTCAAATTTCAACGGGTAGCAGTCTAAAATGAATGTTAAATTGTTTCTTTACTGAGATTTTTTTTGTTTTGAAATTAAATTTATTTTTATATTTTTATAAAATCGACCTGATCTGATACCAGATGAGAAAATTAGAATTTTTTATCCATTAATGATTATATAAATATGCGTTAAGTATTATTAGAGTTTTATTTTTCATTTTAAATGTAAGTAAAATTTTATATTTACATTTAAAATGAAAAAAAGTAAATAAAAAACAATAAAAAAACATTAAAGGGAAACAATTACCGTAAGTATAGGTTAAAGTTTATTTGATTTAGTACATATTTACAAAATTAAATTGGTCAGGTGCGACACAGCCACACAACCAATTTAATTTTGTAAATGAGTACTAATAAACTTTAACCAGCTTAGTGTTTTAAATTATTTTTATCAACAATTTATTACTAGACTGATAAACAGTTTGCCGATTTACCAAAGTAAATGTGTTATGATTCATTTGAAAGACTGCAATCCTATTGGACAAAAATAATTTCAAACACTAAAGAAAAAATAAATGAAAATAATTATTAAGACTTAAAAGAAAAAGTCTCACAAGAACCCTAAGCCCCCATCTTCTCCCCCCCCCCCCCACCCCAAAAAAAAAAAATGTTTTCCAGAAATTGTCTATGAAAAGTAAATTTTCAATTCAGTCATTTCTTGTTCTAATTGTTTTTTGTTGTTGTTTTTTTTTTAATTTTTCTTAATGCCGAACAATAAATTTAATTTTAATTACAACACTTAAAAATTAAAGAACTATTGTCTGTTAAAATCTTTATTTGATTATTTCTAAAGTTCACAAGCTAAAGTTATAGAGACTGGAAGAGAGATTGTTTCTTAAATTAAGAAATATTTATTATAAAACCGTTATATTAAAGGCCCATTAATCCCCAAGAGTGCTGTGAATTTTATTTCTCTACAGCTTTTATTTTTTGTGTGTATTTTTTTATAATTTCCAGAAAGTTACTCATTGGCCAATTACCTGAACATCCTTTTTCTTTCTGTTGCTTTTTGGTAATTAATACAGTTATATTGATTTAGTATTTTGTATGGGAGTTAAAATAAAACTTTGTTTACATTTTGCTTCTTTTATGACAAATTATTTCAGATTTAGCCCTAATTTCCTCAGGTAACAAGCATCTAACAATTACTCTAAAACCATTATTCAAAAAAAATTATAAAATTTGTTAGCCATTTCTGAAGAAGTAAAACTTTATTAATTTATTTCTGAGGCATAATGTGCCTTTAAAGAAATTCCAGATCTTGAAAATAAAGTTGCTATAATTATATCCTTTTAAACAAAAGTATATTTCTACATATTAATAAATGTTTAAAAATTTTTAACAAGAATTTTGTTTAAATTATATTTTAAGCAAAAAAATTAAAGTATTTTTAAACTCAAGCATACCGTAAATTTCTTACAAACATTTCATTAAATTTCATTTTCTTTGTTTTTTTTTAACATTAAAATTGATGGTACACACTTACTGTTTATTTTTTGAAAAATATCCAAGTTGTCACTTCAAATTTGAGATTAATAAAATCCAAACTTTGTCAGAGAACTCGGCAATTTTCAAATACTGTAGATGTTAAATAAACGGACATTCACACAGATGCCTTTCAATTTATTTATCTTATTATTATTTCTTATGCTAAAGTCAGCATACTTTTCCCTATGATACAGTGAGTGGGAAAAGTGGTGAGGGTCGGTTAAATAGTTATGGGTAATATCTCATCCAGTGGGGGTCGTTTACTAAGTCATTTGTCTAGTGATTAATTTTTAAAGTCAGCACACTTTTCCCTATGATACAGTGAATGTGGGCCATTCAATAAGCTGATCACAAATTTTAAAGATCTTGCTCCATTAAAGATATACTATGCTCAGCTTTGGGTTAAATACTTTTATTGCAGAAATATATTGAAACCTAGTAAATTCTTCCTGAATAAGTCTAATTTGAATAAGTGAATGTATAAACTATGTTTGCATTTTCTTATTATGTTTTAATGACACTATGTAATTGTACTTTGAAGACCTGTATTGTGTAGAGTCTAAAACATAACGTATTTTCAAAAGATGTTTATTTTACATTTCAAAAGAGACTGTACAGTAATTATCAGCAAATGTCAAAATCAAGCATATTAATATATCTTTTAAAAAACAACCATTAAAGTTGTAAAGCGAAAATTTGATAAGATAAAATGTAAGCAATGGTTTGTTAGAAATGAAACAGCAACTGTTTACAACTTAGTAAAAGAGCATGAAAGGGAAATAATAAAAGCCAGTAAATAAAAATAATAAGAAGCATTTAAGGGAAATAATGAAAGAGTATTAAAGAAAGCAATTTGAAAGAATTCAAGAGGAATTATTAAAAAGAAGCATTAAAGGGAAATAATAAGAGAATTAAAGGGCAATAGTTAAAGAGGAATGATTTAATAGAAATAAAGGGGTATGAAAATCATTAAAGGGAAATATTAAAAGATAACTAAAGGAAAATAATCAATAATTATAGTTTAATTGACCAACACATTTGATAAAAAATTTAAATAGAAATATGTTTAAACTTTTGTCTATCTAGATCTAGTCTGTTTCGCAGAAAAAGTTCATCTATTTTGTTTGTAAAAAACTTTAATGTTTGTTTGTTTGTTTGATTGGGTTTTACGTCACACCGACACAGTATAGGTCATTTGGCGATGTTCCAGCTTTACTGATGGAGGAAGACTTCAGGTGCCCTTCCGTGAATTATTTCAGGTACAAACGGGCACCTGAGTAGAACCACCGACGTTTCTGTAACCTAGCTGGATAGCTTCCTCACATGAAAGAATCAAAATTTAATGTAGGTAATTACTTGAACAATTTTAAAGGTATCAATATGAAACTTGGAATATTCTTATCATGACAAGAGGCAGGCATAACTCTGAAAGCTATGTTTTTAGGAGTTATTTCCCTTTTTAACTTTTGTGTCTTAAGTGGTTACTTTAACAGTGGAGCGTTAACACTGCATGCGGGTGCTCTTGTTTGTATATCAGATTTGTAAGATATGCAGGTTTGCTATGACATTGAGTTTTATCAGCTTCTTGGTGTTCTTTTTTCTTAATCTGTAAATAGAAATACAGATATTTATAACACTGTTGGGTCTGCATTTTCTATTATCCACAAGTGAGAAAAAAATGCACAGTATCTTGCACAAGGATGTAAACTTGTATTTGGGTAACTTGAGGCATTTGTGTAGCTTGAATCACAGCTAATTTGATTTACAACTTTTGCTGGTTAACAAAAGTGTCTTTGTTGTATTTTGTCATTAATTTTGTTGTTTTGCCCTTGACAATTTTATGGGAAATTGGTTAAGGACAGAGCAGACTTGTTTTGACTCCCCTTGCTTGCAGTTTAAAAAAAGTATATTATAGGAATTGGAATTTAAATTTGAATAACAGACAGTCTTGACTTTGAAAAAGTTTAAGTTTATACCTTGACTTACTGCTTTAAAAAAAATTATGTTGATGATATGACAAGACAGCAGTGTGTATGAATATAGTTAGAATAGAGTGAATTTACTAGATTAAAAGGGAGGTATGGTAATATAAATCCAATATCAATGCTAATATTTTTATAAAATAGGTTTTCTCTACTGATGTAGGTATTTATTATGCAACTATGGTGGCTGATTTGTGTCATTCGTGTTTTCACCAACGACCCCGCCAAGCGTAAAGTTGAGAATTAACAAGTTAAAACGGTAGGGTCGCGGGGACGACAACACGTTAATTAGAGAGGGCGCGGGGAGAAGTTTAATAAATGAAACTTCCCCCCGCATGGGCGTGTGACGAGATTTAAGATACTTCTAATCGCCCCCGCTAATCAGTGTGTGTTCGCTCCGCGCCCCGCCATTTTAACTTGTTAATTTTCGATTTTTCGCTTGGTAGGGTTGCGGGCGAAAACACAAATCAGCCACCATTTGCAACAGACAATTATGTTAGCCCAGCATGTTGAACGAAGCATACTTTTTTTTGTGCCCCCACGTTAGTGGCGGGCATTTAGATTTACCCTTGTCCGTCCGTCCTTCCGTCCGTCCGTCCTTCCGTCCGTCCGTCTGTCCGTTCACTTTTGTGTCGCACGTAACTCAAAAAGTATTTGACCAAGAGTCATGAAAGTTTACAGGAATGTTGATCAGCATGTGTAGTTGTGCACCTGGGTATTTTCGTCTGGATATTTTTAGCATTTTCAGAGTTCTTGCCCTTGACTTAGTGAAATTTTGCAATTTTCAACTTGTGTCGCACGTAACTCAAAAAGTATTTGACCTAGAGTCATGAAACTTTACAGGAATGTTGATCAGCATGTGTAGTTGTGCACCTGGGTATTTTCGTCTGGATATATTTAGTATTTTCAGAGTTATTGCCCTTGACTTAGTGAAATTTTGCAATTTTCAACTTGTGTCGCACGTAACTCAAAAAGTATTTGACCTAGAGTCATGAAACTTTACAGGAATGTTGATCAGCATGTGTAGTTGTGCACCTGGGTATTTTCGTCTGGATATTTTTAGTATTTTCAGAGTTATTGCCCTTGATTTAGTAAAATTTTGCAATTTTCAACTTGTGTCGCACGTAACTCAAAAAGTATTTGATCTAGAGTCATGAAACTTTACAGGAATGTTGATCAGCATGTGTAGTTGTGCACCTGGGTATTTTCGTCTGGATATTCTTAGCATTTTCAGAGTTATTGCCCTTGACTTAGTAAAATTTTGCAATTTTCAACTTGTGTCGCACGCAACTCAAAAAGTATTTGACCTAGAGTCATGAAACTTTACAGGAATGTTGATCAGCATGTGTAGTTGTGCACCTGGGTATTTTCGTCTGGCAGAGTTATTGCCCTTGACTTAGTAAAATTTTGCAATTTTCAACTTGTGTCGCACGTAACTCAAAAAGTATTTGACCTAGAGTCATGAAACTTTACAGGAATGTTGATCAGCATATGTAGTTGTGCACCTGGGTATTTTTGTGTGGATATTTTTAGTATTTTTAGAGTTATTACCCTTGACTTAGTAAAATTTTGCAATTTTCAACTTGTGTCGCACGTAACTCAAAAAGTATTTGACCTAGAGTCATGAAACTTTACAGGAATGTTGATCAGCATATGTAGTTGTGCACCTGGGTATTTTCGTCTGGATATTTATAGTATTTTCAGAGTTATTGCCCTTGACTTAGTTAAATTTTGCAATTTTCAACTTGTGTCGCACGTAACTCAAAAAGTATTTAACCTAGAGTCATGAAACTTTACAGGAATGTTGATCAGCATGTATAGTTGTGCACCTGGGTATTTTCATCTGGATATTTTTTAGTATTTTCAGAGTTATTGCCCTTGAGTTAGTAAAATTTGGCAATTTTCAACATGTGTCGCACGTAACTCAAAAAGTATTTGACCTAGAGTCATGAAACTTTACAGGAATGTTGATCAGCATGTGTAGTTGTGCACCTGGGTATTTTCGTCTGGATATTTTTAGTATTTCAGAGTTATTGCCCTTGACTTAGTAAAATTTTGCAATTTTCAACATGTGTCACACGTAACTCACAAAGTATTTGACCGAGAGTCATGTAACTTTACAGGAATATTGATCAGCATGTGCAGTTGTGTACCAGGTATTTTCGTCTGGATTTATTTAGTATTTTTAGAGTTATTGCCCTTCACTTAGAAATTTTTTGCAATTTTCAACTTAAGTCGCAAGTTTCTCAAAAAGGATTTGACATAGTCATAAGCCAAACTTTATGGGCAGGTTGCTCAGCATATTTTAGATTTGCACCTGGGGTTTCGCTTGTGGATTTATCCAGTATTTGTAGAGTTATTTCCCTTGACTTAGTAAAAAGATTGACAGAACAGTGGCACGGTGGGGGCACCCGTGTCCTATGGACACATTAATTTTCTAGTTTAATATTGATTGACACATTAAAGGGAGATAATTGTAAAAAACAATTTTCAGTTTAGTGAGGTTATGTCCCTTCCCTTTTATGGCTTATCAGACAGATGGTTTATTTTATTTATGTATTTTATAAATATTTTTATGAGAATATTCATAGAGAGATTCAGAGGTCATCCTTGAAAGATACATGTATACAGTATTTATTCAAAGGAATCCCATATACAGATAATATACTTGTTATTTCTTGAATAAATGTAATGTGTTTTTGGTGCGCTAATGTGTTTAAGAGCATTAAACAGGTCCATATGCATGGATTTTGTAGCATCAATACTTGGTGTATTCATGTTGATTTTTAAGTACATGTACATAAATGAGGAACAATCTATATTTAATGCAGATTCATGTATTTTTTTTTTGTGCATTGATTTTTATTTTGTTTCCGGATGTTTTGTAAATGTTGCATTTATATAGAGTAAGTACGGTAAGTTAAGTAAAGTGTAAGAGGGTGTAGGTGGCAAGACATTGTGAGAATATTTGCAATTATCATCCTCTTACTCATAGACACCACAGACACTGCTTGTTTGTAAACATAAGTTTAACTTTTGTATCAAATCTGTCCAATCACACCTTGTATCTGTTAAAGGCCCATTATGCTTCCCCCTGCCCCCCCCCCCCCTCTCTGAAATTGCATTGTCCACCATTCAGTGGGTATATTTTTAAAAATTTATTCCTAAAATTGGTGAATAGTTTCATTCAGATGGACCAGTTCATTGAAGATGTTTGGTAGGTTAAGGGTTGAGACAC